CATTATTAACTAAAATCCATACTTTATTTGGATTTCCTTAGTTTGTATTCAATGTCCTTTTTCTGTTCTCAGATCGCATTCATTATATCATATTATATTTGTCAAATCTTCTTAGTATTCTTTTGATTTTTACTGTTCTATTTCCTTGTTTCTGATGACCTCAATAATTTTGCCAAGTACTGGCAGGTATTCTGTAATGTCCTTCAAATGGGAATTTGTGTGATGTTTATCTCATGATTAGACTGGGGTTATGGATTAAAAGTCATGCTAATCTTATCTCTATCATTCCAATTTTTTTATAGGTGCTGCAAAAGTGAGCAGAGACTATGGGTTATGAGGAGGAAGACCATAAAAATAAAGTGTCATTTTTATCATATCATATATTATATTGTATCAAGATCAACATGACATCCCTTTTAATGTTGACCATGATCATGTGGCTGAGGTAGTAGTTGTCAGTTTTCTCCACTGTGTAGTTACTTTCCCTATATTACCATCCTTTTCATGCTATATTCTTCACTATAATAAAGGAAATCACTTTACTCAGACCATACTTAATGTGTTTAGAGTCGTGATCTGTTCTGTTTGAGAACAGATTATCTATGTAAGTTATATGGAATTCTGCTAAAAAGGAGATTTGGCTCTTCTTCAATTATTTATTTAAATCATTTACTTATATCAGTATAGACTTGTGAAATTTTTTATACTTTGAGTATAGTTCAACATTAATTTATTAATTTTGTTGTTCAAATTATCCCAGCTTTGGCCACTGAGAGCTCTTTCATTTGGTTTCTGTGTCCCTTTTGACACACTACCATCATTGTGGATTTATTTTTTCTTTTCAAGAACTTTTAAAATTTTTGACATTACAAAATGCTTCAGGTTTATTTATTTACTTTCTGCCCCAGTTCTAGAATCAGCCAGTTCTTTTTATAGAGAATGGTATATTAAATACCAAAATCTGAGCACTAGTTGCTCTCATTGCTACTACGATACTGTTGCTTCCAGGTCCTCTTAGTTGACATACAAAGAAAATATATGTGTCCTGCTTATTTTCAATACTACAACTATTGATCCATTGTATGTTTATTTAGATGTAATTGTGAAGTAGGAATTCAATTTCCTGTGTTGAGACTTCTATTTGTCATTCTTAAATGCCTAGCCACAGATTATTTAACTTCTTCTTCATTTTATGTTTCTATACTGGTAAAGTAGGATAATAATACTAGTCCTATCCTTCTTTCAGAGCTATACAAAAAATAAAATTTGATGAAAGTCT